AGAAATAAATTTACGTTATTCTATCTATTCAATACTCTATATCTATCCATATATACTACATCTATATATCCTATACTATATATCTACTCAATACTCCTATATTCATAAATTCTGCAGGCATCATGAAGAAAGATGTGACGATGAAGATGAAACATGTGACTGTACGGTAGTGATGCGATTTCCGGGGCAAATTGTGCTCTTTTCATACGACCTATTAATATTTGCACGCTGTTATCCGCTGGTGACCAAAAAAAATTAAATTATCTGAATGAGTGAGCTGACACAACACCACAGGAAATTATTCAGTGACCATAACATAAATGGTGATGGTTATTTTTCTGCAGAGAAAGCGGGAGAATAAAGGACAACCTTCCACTGGACTAATTCTCTAATTCGCGCTCATTAGGGAAGCAATATAACGCATGCCAAAGAGGGACATGCAGGGAAAATTCAACGAGTGAGTTGACTAGCTGCAAGTGGGGCGAGTCAGCGATCTAGGCTTGGTGAGACGCCAGCCCGTTTCCCATCAATTGTTGTCGCTTGCCCGCTTTAACAATAACTGAAGAACGGGTTAGCACCTCGCCAACCCAGCTCCCCTCCACGTCCCAGCGTCTGCAGAAAATACGACTGCACAGACTTTACAGTACCTTCACCTCTTCTTAATGATGCATATATTGTATTGTAAACGCGTTAAGTCAACTACTCTAGTGGTATAGTTGTCTTTTTCATGTATTTAGGTGCGAGTGGACATAGGAAGTCGCCTAAACGGTCACGTCAGCAGGGGAATTTCTGAATACGGTACTTTCACATTTTTTTTGATATTATGTGCTCCTCAGTTGGTAATAAATCTAGTGTTACTTCTATTCCGATATAGGTCAGGATCAGGTCTACAGATCTGGTCACCGTTAAACGTGTTAGTCTTACTTTATTTAAATTCCTATATCGATTTTACATCTATAAGTAATCAACCAGGGACGGTAGTAATGTGGCATAAACTGGCAGTTTACAGGTAACCATCAGCTCGCGGTAAGGTCGACTGCCCAAAACGCCTATTCCAGGGACTTTATTAAGAAAGGTCGAGGTTAGGTGGTCGTTACCACGACCTGAGGTGAACATTGCTATCCTCCGTTGAAGTGCGACGTCATAACGTCGCACTTGAGTTCTCAACCACGAGGGTGGAGAGAGTGGGAGAGATGACGCGAAACGGAGAGACGCAGATAGTCGCCGTTCTATGCAGTGAAAAGTCCTCCAGAGGACTTTTCAAAGATGGCCATCTCTGTGGTGCGAGTTGGGGGTTCTTCAACAGCTTTCCAAGTCCAGAAATGCTTAGATCACAGGTCTGAGGTATAGCGGGGAGGACAAAAGTAAGTGGTAGGGTTGATAGGGCAGGGGAATTTGGATCGAAATATGAAGTGGGCGTGGCCATCCATCCCATAGTTGAAGAGAAATTTCGGAAAAAGTGAAATATTTTCTAGTAAAACGGGTATAAGGGGTGAGTAGCGAAAAATGCAAATATCATATAAAGATGTGCTATTAGAATATGAATTGATGTAGCCGGTTACCCGATTCGACTTGGGGGGATTTGAGGGGGAAAAATTAGAAAAAAATCAAAATTTTTCCTAGCATAACTGTGTAGATCAAGAGATCAAGTAAGTCAGTATCATTCGATATGTCCTAGGGCCGAGATGAATCGAAGTGGCTGGTGAGCGGAATGGTTGGGGGGGGGGATTGTAAAATTTTAGAGTACCCCAAACTTGGGTAATTAAACTAATGCCTTGCCAGCGTCGACAATACCTGCTCGTACAATGTACGGGCTGTTTTCGGTGTTCAACATGGGAGGTTTCGCGGATTGTGGCGAAACGGGCCACAAATGAACACGTGATATCTGCGGATTTTCTAGAAGTGGGCGCAGCATTGAATAGGGACCATTCGGTGGAGGTCTTCGTGCAAAAGTTACAAGAAGAGCCACTTCAAACAAGATTCTCAAGTAGTTTGAAAAAGAAAAGTCCATAACTGTTTGCCATGTTCAGCTCATTGCTTGTTACCAGGACCGCCGCCATGTCGCATACCTAGTGATAGCGTAGCGACAATTATGCGCGCTACCACTTGCATGGTGGCGAGATCGATCCCGACGCAGTCTCGCAGCGAAGCTCGTTTTCCAGCGTGGTTGCCTCGCTCATACGTCGCTCGTTGTTCTGTATAACCGCCAGCAACTCATCACATTTCATTGCGAGATTTAGATAGATTACTACCGTCCCAGATCCCCCGAGATAAGAATTAGCCTGAAGAGGTCTGTTTGAACCGATAGGTCCAACAATGTCATGCGGTGCTTCCGACCACTGCGCCAACTGTACTCATTGAAAAGAACTGAAAGTTCTACCTGCATAGACCAGGCATTTTTGCCGAATTTCTGGTCGAAGTACCCGTCAAACTCCGGCTCTAGTGTATATTTAATGATTGTTGCCGTGAAGACGTATTCTAGAAGGTTCAGTGCTCGTTCCATGTACGTCATTGGCACCGAAAAGCCTTGTTGTTTACTAAAAAAAATACTGGAAATAAAAGTCAGAGGGACAGAAGATAGTGCTCGAAAGATGTTACCTGGAACAAAACTGGGTGTGTTTGGTATACCTAGTGCGTTTACCACATACTCGAGTGGGTTTGTGGATACGGTCACAACAAATCTGAAGCCAGAGGATGAGTATGAACTCAAAACAGTTCTAACATGACTCTCATATAAAGGATGTTGGGTCAGGATTAATTAACAAACTATAACTAGGTGCGGTCCAGGTTTTGTTCTGGTGCATTGACGCCACCTAATCATCGCCAGTGCAAGCCCAAAGCGTCCACAGCTGCAGTGGCGTTTCACTTTCTCCGCTCAAAAGTGCACGGGAATCAGAATGAAGTGCAGTGATAGCCAGGTGCTGTTTCCGCACCCCGGCCGCGCTATAGTCAAGATGCAGCATTTGCGTCGATACTGAAGTCCCGCAGTGGAACACGTACTCAGCGTTAGCGAACAACCGAAACTGAGAGGGAGCAGACAAGTTGTGCGTTCGGCTACGGTCAGACGTGTGATCGGCCGTGTGGCAGCGCGGGCGGAGTATGGAGAGGGTACTTGAGTTTCAATACCCTCCAACCTCACTGCTGTCGACTATTGACAGGAGAAAGTGGCATGCTACGGCAGCCGTGGACCCATTCCCACACAGACAAGGAATAGGATCCACGGAGAGGAGTGTATTGTTTATTTTTTAACAGTAAGTACTTTCGCATCATACTTTTTGATTCCCAGCATATACAGCAAACCGTCATAGCAACCGACGCCTTCTGATACAACTATATCGAAATTCTGTTGACGTATCCACTCATGGAACTCGTCCGAATTGAACAGAGCTGAAAAAGTAGTTGTAAAAAACGTAGACCCTATTAGTGAAGTCATATATCACGACAGCCTAGGTCTGGTTTATCGCGTTAGATAATGGATGTTCAGGTGATGGAATAGTCGCCAGTAAAGTAAAAATGAAAAAAAAAACAAAAAACGCAGTCAGAAATGTATGGTATATATAGCCCATAGTTTCGCGACGCCGGGTTCAAATCCCGGGTCGACTCCCGCCCAGGCCAACCAAGCCTTCTACCCTCCGGGGACGGTGAATTGGTAGATTCGTCTGGGAGGATAAAACAGTGACTTGTATATCGGCTGGCCACCGCAAGTCATTGTATAGGCCACATCGCATTCTCGAATAATCGTGGAATGTGCCTTCGAAAACAAGATGATTCAAGCATCTATGGAACCATTCTAAAATATTGGCTAAAAACAGAAATTTTAAAGGCAGTTGGCACGATAGTTTTCTACTTAGCCTAAAATGCTAGTAGGGCGCTGTATAGTGGGGAAATGGCGAAAGAATGGAGTGAAACGGTCAAATCGCCGCGGCGAAGAAAAGCCTCCGTTCTCAGTGACTTGTGAATCGATTTCGGACGAGTTTCCCGTAGGCATCTTACCAATCACCGCTACCGAAGATACGGCTGCATATGTGTACCCATATATGCATGCAGCATCACGGCCGCTTCATACCAATCCCTTCGCTTCATAATTTGCTCAGCAAATGAATGAATAACTACGTTAGAAACGCGTTTCGTCCGTTTGTGGGCTGGGCGGCTGAAGCGAAGGCGTTTGGGACGTAAAGTTGTTGCTCAATAGGGCGTTATAGAGGTACCCTCCTTGGGAAAGGCTTTCACGCAGCGCCTGTCCGAGGTCACGGAATTCTGCTTGAGCCAGTTGTACAAATCCCATACCTGTATAGCGATTTATCGTGCCAACTGCCTTTAAGGCAAGTAGCACGATGCATCGACGAACGAGACGCGTGTTGGGTGCCGCCTTAGTAGTAGGACAGAATCTGGGCCCCTGAGCAGGCGCTGCAAGGCGCTTTTTTTAGCGAACGAAACCTTATAGCGACCTATCAAGCTGCAGCATGCCGACCCGAACGCCTACCCGCAACCATCCGCCCATTGTTGGCCGACAGTATTATCAATTGCTGATGTGCGCTAAATTATCAAAAAATTTTACGCTTAATTTGAAGTGCACAATGCTAGTAAACTTGTCCGAAAACGCTCGTCCAATGTTGCGCAGAACGAATGTTATTTGCAGTTTTTTGGCCGTTTTATTTCGCTTTTTCGTCATTTTCCCCCTATACGGCACCATTGCTATGTACTATTTTCTGGGAAAGTAGCAAATTATCGCACCTCATGCCTTGAACTGAATGAGTACCTTTAGCGAGTGCTCGCGTCGGTTTCAGAGCAACTTTTGATAGCTCTATATAGGAAGCAATGTCACTATTCCACACGTGACGTTGAGCTGCTGCCAAATCCAGAGTAATTCCACCGAAATCAGCATCGATTTTATGAGCTTTCGTTGGCATTGGACCTTTATGAGGAATAATGTTTGGAGAATAAACAGTCTGCAACAAAAGATTTATCACAGATGGAAATAAGAACTTCATGGACAAAACTCAGTGGTTTCTCAGAAGTAAAGCCCATTAGCAGCCTTTGATTATCAGTGAAGCCTCAAGCTATTGAGTCGGTTTCTTTGAGCGAGGGTCAAGCATGTCATAGTGGACAATGGCCCGTCAATACACTCCCCAGACACGGTATGGTATCGAGATGGGTGAAAAGACAATTTTAGTATTCATCCAGCGAGGACCTTCGGTCACCTTACCCTGGCACCAACGAACAACCTTTGTCCCACCGGGCGTAGCATAGCTCTTGCTGCTTGTTAGTAAGATAACAGAGGACGAATGAGTCCCACTTGAGTTTCATCCTGTCGCATAAGTCAAGTTGTCGTGGCGCACGTCTCTCTTATTGGAGCACGCACTCTATTCTGGTAGGCATGACAAGACTGGGAAGAACAAAGCGGAGTGGTTATGGTATCACGCCTTTTCCCAGGTTAGTGTTAACCATGCGCGTAGAAGATCGAAATGTCAGGCCAATAAAACGTTCTATCTGATAACCTAGTTTGGCAGAAGTATTAGGTTGTCCGGAAAGTTCTCAGCGTTTTGGGTTACAATTTTTTGAACATTCATTGCTGATAGAAAACTCATTCTCCCTTGCGTCTCAGTAGTACATCCTCAAGAGAATTTTTTGCGCTATCTGGTGGTATAATTGCCATTTCACCATTGCTTGATAAACCTTTTTTCCCGAGACTTTTTGAAGCATGTCAAAAGAGCAACTTCGGACGATATTTTTCTTCAACTACAAATTGGGTCAATCCGCAGTCGAGACAGCTCGACAAATTAACCAGGTGTGGGGGCCCAATAGTGTTGGAGAAAGCACCGTGCGACAATGGTTCGACAAATTTCGTTCTGGAGATTTCAGCCTTGAAGATGAACCTCGTAGCGGTCGACCTAAAGCAATACCTGACGAGGATTTGAAGGCGTTTGTGGAGGCTGACCCATCCCAAACAGTTCGAGAGATTGCAGAAAAGCTAGGCGTTGGCAAATCCACTGTTGCAGATGGTCTGAAACGCATTGGGAAGGTGAAAAAACTCGACAAGTGGGTGCCCCACAATTTGAGTGACCGGCAGAAATTGGCACGTCTCGAGGTTTCTTCTTCACTGCTTTTGCGCAACAGAAACGACCCGTTTTTGGAACCGAATTGTCACCTGTGATGAAAAATGGATCATGTATGATAAGGAGACGTTCCGGACAGTGGTTGGATGCCGACGAACCACCGAGGCAATTTCCAAAGCCGAACCCTCACGAAAAAAAGATTCTGGTCACGGTTGGTGGTCATCGGCTGGTGTGATCCACTATAACTTTTTGTCACCAGGCCAAACCATCACAGCAGAGTCCTACTGTGAAGAAATCGACGAAATGTACCGAAAATTGCGTCAGCTGCAGCCAGCACTTGTCAACAGAAAGGGTCCGATTCTTTTGCATGACAACGCCCGCCCACACGTTTCACAAATCACTATCCATAAATTGAACGAATTGGGGGTTGAAGTTCTACCTCACCCGCCATATTCTCCAGACCTTTCACCAACCGACTATCACCTTTTCAAACATTTTCAGAACTTCCTTGCTGGAAAATACTTCATCAATCAGGACCAGGCAAAAAAAGCCTTCGTGGATTTCGTGGATTCTCGACCACCCAGTTTTTTCTTTGATGGGATTTCGACTGCTGTCACATTGGCAAAAGTGTGCTGATTCGAATGGTGCCTATTTCGATTAAATCCGATGAGTATTAAGAAAGTTACGATCGTTTAAAGTGAAACACCCAAAACGCTGAGAACTTTCCGGACAACCTAATAATTATAATTAACATCATGCCGAGGTGATAACAAGGCATTTGCAGGCAAAGCACATACACTCGAAATAGAACTAAGAGCGTGCATAGCCGATAATGCAACAATTGGCGAAAAAACTGTTTTGGCTGTAGTCCAAGTCACGCCTTACTAAGGGTCATGGCTATACATTTGCTCCCACATAAGTAGGTCACACATAATTCTTACGCTGCAAAGTCCATAACGCACAATTGACTTCACTTTGAAGGTTGGACTACGAACTACACCCCACCCCACCTCGCGGGCAGTTCTCTTATAGGGCAGTGTTCATGCCATCGCCGTAAGCACACTAGAAATCCCTGAGATGTGGTAGGCGTGGCTGCGTACTTCAACTAAATGTGGCGGTGGCTGTGCTTTTGGTGAGATATTTTCATTTTGACACAGTTGTGGTCATGTATCGTCCAACACTGAAGAAGATGACAGTTTTCACAAACTGAAGTATCCCATGAACAGCCCATCATACGTCGTGTTCAAATGCTACGCCTACATCGTCTCTGGGATAAGGATTGTAGAGGCAACACACCGGAACGTGATACAATGTGTATACTCGAAATCCCTGAGATCGGGTAGGCGTGGCTGCGTACTTGAGTTTAGAGTGGCGGCGGCTCGGGTTTTCAGGGCGATGTTTTCATTTTGGAACAGTTGTAATCATGTCTCAATCTAAAACAGAGCAAAATGGCAGTTGTCTCAAATTGAAGTATCCCACGAGTAACCCGTCCTATGCCATGCTCAAAAGCCACGCCTACTCTGTCTCAGGGATAAGGAGTGTACTTACATGGATTGGATCTTCAAACGTTATTTAAGGAGTGCTTGTAATGATTATGGTCTCAGACCTTCCTATTTCTTGATAAAGAGAGTATTCATCACGCTAGTGTTCTGGCACAAAGCACAGAATAAAGTACAATATTTTGGGAGTAATAAAAAAATGATCGCATGAATGCACTACAGAATTCATTGGTGGGTGCGATTCTGGCGCTCTCGAGACGAACACTGGCGAGGTGCGTCCTGGTACTGGGCAGAAACTTCCGTCCTACAACCCACACCCAACTTCTCTACTCTAGCGCTACCCAACATCCTACATGCGCTCTAAGGAGATTTCTACAAAATTTACTGCCGAGGGAGTGGGAGAGGAGACGCTGCCGGTAGGCTGTCAAAAATGGCTCCTTTTTTAGCAGTTTTGCGTGCGGCTCCCCTAAATGGAGGAGGGGGCAGGAGGAAACGGGCGTGAAGCGGGAAACATCAACAGTGAAAAAAATATTTCTAAAAACGGTTGCTGTTGGGCATACCCCAACAGAATCATGCCCTGACTTGTTTTGGGTTAACCGCGGTCTCTTGAAATCTTCATTGAGCTCTGCTTTTCTAGCTTCAGAGAGTACAGTGTACATTAGCCAGGAATTCAGCGGGGCGTACTACAGTAGCCCTAGATATTTCGCGTTTCGCGGACTGGCAAAAGCTGACAAAAAACTAAGGTAAGTTACGTACCACATTATGTCCAGCGTCAACGAGTGTATCAGCCACTTTGGACATGAACTTCATGTGGCTTATACCGAATTTCGGAGCAAATACAAGAATAAAAAAAAATAAAATGAATTTTGTAGCAGTGAACATGTTCTAGTAATAAGCGTAGAAAAGATAAGCGGTGGAGGGGGGGGGGGGGGGGGGGTGGGGTGGCGGGGGGGGGGATGGGGGGGGGTGGGGGGGGTATACAGAAGAGCTGGACATATATTTTTCTAGTTAGTAATGGAAATCAAGAATCGTCAAGAAGTAGACTTTCTGTGGCGTCTTTAGAAAGTTTCCTATTCCAACCACTTACGATCTCTTATCAGAACCAGATAGACACATAACTCTTGTGCTTGTTCATTTGTTCATTCAGGTACACACTGAGTAAATATATTGAAAAAAGCTAGAGATAAGTGAAAAAGATCGTGATAAGCACATGATCGTACAGTGTACCTGACCCATAGGTACATATTTAGTTATAGTGAAAGTTTACTCGAGATCGGAGCGAGTCGATGAGGCTTTGGAAGAATGTTTGTTCGGTGACCTGAGGCGCATCAGCGTCAAAAGTGAGTTTCCGCCCTGCCTTCCATGTTGCCTCCTAGAGCCTGGTCTCATTCATCTATTACCCTCCCTATCATAGTGACCACTGCATGTATGAGTCGATTCGTCTGTCTTTCCTCAAAGTTCCCTCTTTTCAGGCCATCTGGCTGAGTGGCTTTCTTCGCCCTTCCGTACGGCAACGTGGTTCTTGCTCATGTTATCCATTAACGATGAGCGTTCACGCGTCTCCACTTATCGCACGCTAGATGAGGTTGGAACTGACCAGCGCTTGTTTTAAGGTGCTTTCACCAGATCTGCCTTAATTGAACGTACTCAGCCATACGTTCAAAGCTAGCGCAAAGAGCTCCAGCAATTTCGGAATGTACCTTTAGATAAGGCCGAGCCCCCCGCGATGTAGGTTTTGATGGGCTGGAAATATTGTTGAGTTCGCCATGTGGGTTCCAACCTTCGACGGTGATGTTTAATGCAGCACGTCAGCCACTGTGATTATAGCCCACATCCCGACACTGGAAGGAGAGTTTGAGGATTGCCATATTTTTGAGAATGGAGCATATAGAAGAAGTCGGCATCGGCACATTACGAGAATATTTTATAGAAGCCGACTAGTAGGTAACTGAATAGTACGATAAACTCATAGAAAAAAAACTAGTCCACTTGAGATCTTCAGATGCGGAGAGGATAGAGAAAGTCGACGTCACAAAATACTGCTGCTTCGACTGGATTGGGTCCTGGTGCGAATGCTGCCTACGTCACTCCCTTACAACGCCTCTCTCACATACACGAGTGCAGACACTCTCCATTGAACCCAGGGCACATCATTAGTTGGGGATTTTGGTAGTTCGTTCGATACCTTCCCCGCCTAAAAGGTGGGCTCATACGTCCCTCCCCCTAGTCCTCTAATACGATCGAGTTGCTCAGACCAATACGACCTCCCAGCACAGCATTCGATGGGGATTTTGGTCGAGCTTTGACCACCCCTTTGGGGCTGGTACGACCCCTCCCCCATGCTCGTACGATGTGTATGCTTACCTGGATGGCTGACTGTGGTTGTGGTTTATACTCGGCGAAAAAGTTGTCGAGCGGGGGGGGGGAATTCATAAAACTCATGAAGTGAACCACGTAACTCCTAGCCAGAAATACGACCCCCCTCCCAACAACGACCAAATACGACCCCCCCTCCAAAACGTCCGCAAAGCGAGAAAAATCAACTATAAAAATAAATTTTTCCCAGCCCAAATACGACCCCCCCCTTTTGGCGGCCAAATACGACCCCCCATAGGGAATCCCCATCGAACGCTGTGCCCTGCCTTCCCCCCTGTTGAGGAATCCCCAACGATGATGTGCCCTGATTTAACCGCCTGATATGGGCTACACAGAAACGCCCTGCAATAGAGTCCACAGGTCTCCACCGGAATGTTTCGAGTGAAAACTTTCCCAGAACTCTATGGTGGAGGCGACATGGGCAATAGTTTCCAGTTGTGTGTGATTTTTTGCTATTACAGTGGCCGATATTCGTATAGTACACTGGATTACGAATTTAGAATAATGTTTATACTAGTGTTCACAGGGCACCATAAGCCTTTCTGTGAGGTGGGATGGGAGAGAAGCGGGGACGGATGTAATGCGGTTATTTACCTTGCAGATTTTCCTCCTAATGATTGGCGGCGTCTTCAGTAAACTTACCTACTTTTTCTTACCTTGCTTGACTTAATCACTCACATCATTGATTATGCTGTATATTTATGTGCGATATAATTGGCTATACTGTAAGACCACTGCACTTTTACATAAGAGACCGAAAAGAGTTTCCTGTCTATGGTAAAAATCAAACGATTTTATCGATGCATGCTCCTTTTTTCTATTGTTAGTACATGATGCAGTTTCGGCATGAACTGCTCAATATAGAGACTATTTTGACTGTTAAGAAGAACTCATGATGGTGCTCTAGGACCTGTCGGAGTGGAACTTACATGAGCTTACGAATGCTGCATCATGTCCTAGTGATGCCCACTTAAAAAATTTCGTAAAACGTTTCAAGGTGAAGTGCGAGTTGCACAACCTGGCACCGTAGTGTCATGGATGGAATTCCATGAAGACGGCAGGTGGAATTTCAGACTTTTTTTTGCAGCTGCTATCTATAGGGCCGCAATCCACAGTGCCAGCCCGTCCGTATAGCGAACAGTACGTAGTCTCGGTACTTCACAGAGAGGACTGCAAAAAGAACAAGAAAGTGGAAACTGCTCACTATTTGAAAAATAACCTGCTCGTGAACTATTACGCTGCCGAAACATCTGTGATCTACTAAAGCTTTAAGGCTCACCCGTATTTCAAAATAGTAGCCATAATGTTAATGGTGAAGTGCACGATAAATCCCCTAAAAGTGTATGGTTAATGCATATCCAAAAAAACACCGCACCCCTGAGCAAGCCTTACATGGCGTCTTCTCTGACAAATGAGCAAGGCTTAACATATCCACCCATACTCCCACTAACAACGACACGCCCACAAATATCCACACCTATGAGCAAGCCAAATTGTCGTGCCCACCACCTCTATTAGGAGATTTTCGTATGCTGCGGACAAGGTGAAATCCACTGCGGAGTAATACTCTTGTAGAC